GAATTACATTAGAAAAGTTCTTGAACGATTTAATATGCAAAATAGTAGCCTAGTTGAAACTCCAATCAGTAAAGGTCATACCTTGGGAAGTCAGATGTGTCCTAAGACTCTTGAAGAGACAGAAAAAATGAGTCGAGATCCTTATAGGAGTGCAGTAGGAAGTCTAATGTATGCTATGGTGTGCACTAGACCTGATATCTGCCAAGCAGTTGTCTTGGTAAGTAGATATCAGACCGACCCAGGTTTAGCACATTGGCAAGAAGTAAAGAGGATCATGAGATATCTGAAGGGAACTGCTGATTATGCCCTTTGTTATCAAGGCGGCAAGGATCTGCGATTAGTTGGATACAGTGATTATGACCATGGAGGAGATCTAGACGAGAGAAAGTCTACCTCAGGATATGTAATCTTACTCAGTGATGGGGCCATATCATGGAGTAGTAAGAAACAATCATATGTATCACTATCTACGATGGAAGCCGAATATGTGGCTCTCGCATTAGCAGCACAAGAAGCTGTTTGGTTGAAAAATTTCTTGGAGCACTTGTTGGATATTGCTGAAAATACTGAACCAGTATTAGTCTACTGTGACAGTGAGGCTACAATATCCTCCACCAAGGACCCAAAGTTTCATTGTAAAACCAAACATATAGATATCAAGTATAACTATGCGAGGGACATGGTTAGACGCAAGGTAGTGAATGTGAAGTATGTGTCTACAAAAGATATGTTAGCAGATCCATTGACCAAGCCTTTGTCTAGAGATGCATTTGTGAGACACACTAGGTCTCAAGGCTTGCATAGACTCTGAGATACTTTATTTTGTTATTTATTTTCCCGTGTTCTCAAACTGATGTTCTTTGATTATCAATAAAGTTGATTTACATACATACATATTGTTATTGTTGAATGTTATGTACATTCTTTGTTTATTTTTTAAGTATGTCGAGTAGACATGAGGTTGGCCTTCTCACACAGGAAACCGCCTCCTTATCTTAGTGATGTGAGGAGATGAGACATGATTTTAAGCAAAATTATCATAAGGATAATTTGAGAGTTGTTAGCTTAAAATTAGAATGTCGCTTAAACAATGACATAAGGTCATTAGGGCGAAAAATGTTCACCTAGTTTGCTTTGTGAGCCAGATGTGAGTTAAAAATGATATTGCGGATCAAAGAACTCAAATTTAGATACGTATGGCGTCTAAATATCATCTGTACAACATTTTTTATGAGATAAAGACATACGCTCCTTGGGAAAAGGGAGAAAATGTTGTAGCACATGTTCATACCATGTGTGCTAATGTCGACCAATTGGGTTAACATAAGTCCATTCTCAACTTATTATTGTGTGAGACCCAGAGCTTTATGATGACTCAAGATTTTGTACCCTTAGAGACTCTGATTAGATACTTGAGACTTAGTGTGATGTTAGCTATCTTAGTGTGTTTCCAAAAGACCATGGACACAGATTCGGTCTAGCGGAGCATAACTAGAAAAGCAGTCATACTAATGTTAAGGGAATCGTGAGAAGAGGAAGATCATTGATGGAATCTCATTTATTTGTATTCACTGATGCACCAATTATAACTTATGAGTTATAATTATGAATACAAGAAATAATGATATATGAGATTTTGAGACTATATCAAATGTGATTTACATGATCTAGGATACTGCATACTTTATGATTTACTTGCAGGTTTGCACTCGACGAGAGGCTATATACTCCTAACAGATATATAGCACTTAGCTCTCACAGTATGCTGGTCGCACGGTCTACTTCCCTCTATGAATGATTGAGGAGATGAGAATATGTTTCTCAGATTAGATAAGCACTCCCATTATGTGTGAGTGGGAGATGTAGGAAAATTGGGTCCACCCATTAGGGGTGCTTTAAGGCCCAATAGGGTTATTAGTTAACCCTAATATTCTCTATATAAGTACACTTAGTGTGTACATTAAAGAATATACTCCGCAGTATTTTTCTACGCTCTTCTCTCTCAATTTTTGTTAGGGTTTAGATTGTGGAATTGGGGGTTGCTCCAACACACCGTGACAACTACCACCGACCAGTGATTCCAGCCGCGGTTCAATTCGTTTTTTGCTTCCGCTTCACGAAGAACAAGTAAGTTCTCATTTTACGATTTACGCGCTATCTAATGTGTTTAGATTAACGTGTTCCTTCAGGGGACCTTACAGACTGGATGGCCTAATTCTTTCCATAAAGTTATTTGAAAAAGTCAATACGTAATGTCTACTCTATATTACTTACTCCAATATATTAACTTTATTTGTTGTATAATGGAAATCATGGAATTATTTTATCTACAAACAGATATATTGAAATTATTGATGAAGTTGATTTATATTTTCTTAGCTATATATTCGAGCAGTTGTGTAATTTATTTTATTTTTTTCTCCTTTGAAGCAGACATGTTTTTATATTTTATGTCATATATTTTGCTAATGTAAAGAAAATTACTTGATTCTATTAGTTTACCTAAATTGTAATATGTGTTTGTCCACAAAAAATATGTTGTTTAATACAACAAGTTAAAATATATTGATAGTACAATATATAAATTAGAACTTTTTATAATATATATACACACACACACACATTGTAGAAATTAGCACGTGACTAATTCACTTGTATAGTTGTATTAGTTTGTTAGAAGTTAGTTGTAAAGGTTAGTGATAGTGGAAGTCTATATATATGTGTGTGTGTGTGTGTGTGTGTGTGTGTGTGTGTGTGTAGGGATGTATGTATTTTTTGGCTTCTTTTTCAGAAAGTTAGTTACAACTGATTTTCCCTCCATTGTCTTTTCTTCTTCAATTTTCTCAGCTAGCTTCTTCCACTCAACAATGGTGGATTTCGACATAGTATCAGAGCTGAGTAGATCGATCGAGGCTAGGAATTAATCAGTTAATACAACTTCTGAAATCATCAGTTCAAGATTTTGAAGCCAACTTTTGACAGTCAGTCATAGCGAATCTGGACATCGACAATCCCCGTCATTCTCTGTATTTGCAACCTTCTGATAATCCTGGAAATGTCATCATATCGATACAGCTTAAAGGAACTGAGAATTATTCAATTTGGAGCAAGGCGATGGTGATTGCATTGCGAGCAAAGCGCAAGCTAGGGTTCATCGATGGGAGCTGTCACTACAAGAAACTGGACTTATTGTGTTCGACATATTATGGCGACCCATTTGGTTGCAGCAAAAGTTATAGTTTTAGCGGCGACTTTAAATGTTGCTACAAAATGACAATATCTAGTAGCGACTTTATTTGGTCGTCTCTGATATCTGCAACTAAAGGCTGAAATATTTTATTCCTACGAGAATAAAATTTTGGCTCCATGTATTTTGTGGCGACTTTAAAATGTCGCCGCTAATTGTATTTGGAGCGACAGGGTCGCTGCTATACTTAGTTATTTTATTTTTAAAAGAAACAAAGAAATTAGAGGTGCATAACACTAAAAGATCTGAAGGCCTAAACAAAGAAATTAGAGCCCCTGTTATCAGCTGCTCAAAATCCCTCTCTACTCAAAATCCCCCTCTGCTCAAAATCCCTAAAATTAGAAAATGTAAATCTTATATAGATAGCTCCATTTCTCAACTCCTAATTAAAGGAATATGTTGGCTGCTCTGTTTCTCTGCATCTAGTTACTGACCCAAAAATTCAAATCTTATATGTATTCAAATCCTTAATACTTTCATTTTCTTTTGGGTTATACGAAAGTTTGTTGCGTTTTCTTAGGATTTTCCAAATACAACAAGAATGAAGGGAAAATTTTACATTTGGGGTTCTTTATAAATATTCTAGAAGGCAAAAATTTTAACATGCAGCTAGCAATAATTATTATATTAATGTTTTTACATTTGTATTCTCATATTTCATCTCAAATTTCTTTGACCCGTTTGAATATTTACCGAAATTCGTACAGATTGTGTTATTTAAGTGTTGTTATTTTCTGATTCTAAGTCTTGACCGAACTCTCAGCTATATATTTTCCTGGGTAAGTGAAAGTTTTTTCTTGAAAGACCGTTTGGTGTTGTTATTGCGATTGTATGTTTGGTATTTCATTCTTTTTTTGTTCTTATGTGGTTATATTTTTTTCCCGCATAAATTTGGCAACTTTCTAGTTCGAGAAAGCTTTGAGATGAGAAATTAGGTTCTCTCCTACTACTTTCAAGCTCCACTTTTACTCTATTCAAGGTAACCTCATAACTCGAAGTTAGTTTTATGATCTATTTTATCACACTGTGGTTTGAGTTTGGGCCTGTGTTGTGCTGATTTGGGTTTTAAGAATTTTGACATGAGGTTTTAGATGGGGTATTTAGTTTCATATGTGGTATTTTAAGATGGAGTAATATTTGTTCTAATTACACATTGCCTGATTAGTTTTGAAAAACTTTGTCTATGGACTGGTTTAGCCGACATGTAGTAGAAAATGTCTGAAATTTGCTAATTGTTAGTTTCTTTAACATTTTACAGTTTGATAACATTTGTATGTAATATGCTTTACATTTTTGTACTATTATCTTATTTGCTTAGTTGACACGGTGAGTTCACAGAAATTCCATATTGATTCTAAATTTTTAGGTTCAAGTTGATTGAAGAAATTCAAAATAATATCATATTCTAGACCTTAGTCTTATTGGTTTTTTTTGTTTCTCTTTCGGACGGTACCTATTATTGTATAGTTTTGGGTGTTCATCAGTTTGATGTAAGGAGTTTAAAAGCATAGCAGAGTCAATCAGTATGGTGGAAGTGGATACGAAAATGAAAAGGCTGATAAGGTATTTACTTGAATTATTCATTAATTTGATTCCTATTGACTTAAAAGAAAGTCCATTAATTGTATTGACTTTAAGTTGCAAGGTTTATTTATGTGGTTAGGATATTGAATATAATGTTACATTTATTGTCAGGATAAATTTGAAGTTTACAGCGGGTTGCAAGAGCATAGATTTCAGGCCTTTGTAATTAGCACTATGCAAAAACTTTTTAAGCATGGAAAGCTCGACTCAGCATTCTGTACTCTAAGTACAGTACTAATGAAGAAAGATTGTCTCATCGACCTGAAGATGTTGAGTTTGAGGACTGGAAATACCTAATATAATATTTTGGAAGTCCGGAATTTAAGGTATTAACTTAATATCTGAAGATTGTCTCTTTGAATGATGATTTATTAATCTGTTTACTTACAAGTCGTAAGTGAGAGGAACGAAAAAAATAGAGAAAAGCAAATAACTAAGCATACTTGTGGTACAAAGTCTTTTGCAGAAGTAGAGGAATCTACGGTAAAAATATATTTAGTCCCCTACTATCATATATGCTTTTTTGTTATTTACATATTTTTATATTTGCTTCTATATTTTTTTCGTAACTATATTGCAGAAAAATCCTATTACTGGAGACTAGATAAAGTTTGGGAGATCCAACATACACGCAAGGATGATAGAGGCGAACTGGTGTGGTTGGATTCACAATCCCAATAAATTCATGTAATTATATAAAACACTTATAAAGTTCTCTGTTTTTTGTAAGTTTCATTTAATATGTTTTATTATGTTTTGATTTAAATGATTATGCATAAATGCAGAGTCAACTCCAGGAAGTTGTCGCTCAGCAACAATCTGAGGAGATCGAGCATCACATGACTAGAGATGAGATTTTATCCTCCGTTGTTGGTAAGAGAACAAGCTATTTCGTGGAAAAGGATACGGAAAGAAGCCTCCTAAAAAGAGTAACATTCAGCAGGCAAACATAGAGGCCAGCATGTCTTCTGCTATTGATATTGTGCGTCAAGAGATGCAAGCCGAGATGGATAGGAAGTTGCAAGAAGAACGTGAACAAATGGCTGCTGAGTTGCGAAGAAATATGGAAATTGAGTTGGAAAGGAAGTTGGCAGAGGAGCGTCAACACGCAAATGCAGAAGCAGACAAGAGGATCTCTCTAGAAGTGGAGAAGAAGATACAAGAACAATTTGCTAGTTTCTTGACCAGAATGCAACAACAACAGGTACTTGCTCCGCTCCTTCTTAACAATTCTTTTTTCTTCTCGGCATTTCTTCTTCCTTTCTTCTGTAGTGACTTCATGTTTAGGGGTTTAGTAATATGTTGGTATCTCTGGTTTTAGTAATGTGTTGGTTCTATTTCAACAGAAAGGTTGGTTTTAGTATGTAATGTGTTAGTATCTCTGGTTTTAGTAATGTGTTGGTTCTATTTCAACAGAAAGGTTGGTTTTAGTATGTAATGTGTTAGTATCTCTGGTTTTAGTAATGTGTTGATTCTATTTGACATGTGTGATCTGATATTGAGAACGACAGTTACTCAATAATTGAGTATTTTTTTCTTGGATAGTTTGTTCTGAGGCTACTTGGGGTTGACGAACCTGGTTTGTCTGGAATGACGAGACTACGAGGATTAAGATATTTTACTTAAGAATATTATAAACAAGTTTCTCAAGGATTAGTTGAGTATTCTTCCTTGTTGAGTATTATAAACTCTCTGTACTTCTTGTTGAGACCTTTGCATGTATTCCATGTTAAGTTGTCTTACAATCATGATTCATTGAGATTTTATCCCACTTTGTATCCAATGTGACTGAATTGTGTCGCCAAAGACTGCAGTTCAAGTTTACTGTCCAGCAGTGTTCATATACACTGTTTTTCCCAATTCAACTATTCACTCAGCTTACATTCCGTAAGAATGGTTCACTCATAAAACATCCCAGATCCAAGTTAATTTGACTGTCAGCCATAAGTTATCAGCAACGCCAAGTTCAGCATTGCTTGGTAATTGACGCGAGGCGAGCACTTGAACTTGAAGAGTTCTAATATGTGATTTTGGCGGGTTCAGATGTCTACGTACAACTCTTACTTGTATTCGTTAACTTTAAAGGTTCAACATGAAGTCTCCTCCATGACGCCACTCATGCTCTGTGATCAGGATAGAAATAGAAGCACTGATAAAGGTGGATGTTGGTATCTGATGTCAATAACTACTGGTATCAGTTACTTCTTCATATTTCTTTTTTCTTTTCCCCTCCCTTTATTCTTTGCAAAAATATTGTAGACATGCTACTTTGTTATGACTAAGACGATGATAATCTTAACGTGTAACCTGTAACATTTTTTAGTTAAATAAGGACCTCTATGTTTCTATTCCTCCTGGACTCATCCGTAAAGCACAACAGGTGACATGATATTTTTGCTTTGAATCATATGCCTGATCTGCCTGCCTGGCATGGTGATGCGACGCCCGTTCTGAAACTTATTGTTTCTTCTGAATCCCTCGTTTGAGGCAATGTTGACTTGGATGTAATACTAGATATGTTTCAATCTATATCTTCTGGATCCCTCCTTTTAAGTTGATGTGAACTTGTATGTGACTAACAAGACATGCTGCAATCAAGATCAATCACTCATCTATGCTTAATTCCAAATTAGTAGGCATCAGCTACGTCACTCCTCAATTACTCATTCTGCTTTATTCAGGTTGGTTTCATTCCAACACTACATATAGCTATTCAACATACCTCAACTAGTTTAATCCAATTAGTTTCGCCTTTGTGAATCCATTTAGTCAGTATCTTCCATTTGAATATTCTGATTTTATTTTCTTCTTTTGATTTCATTTTCTTCCAATCTTCGCTAAGTTTGCATGAATTCTGGATGATTCAAGTTCAGAAAGCAATTGTACAATTCACATATTTCAATCAGTGTCTTGGTTACATTCTGATGCATGGTGATTGATCAGTACACATATATGGACTTCCATATTTTTCCATTGTAAGGTCAGACTGCAGTTCAAGTTGAGGTTAATAATTTTAGGAAATATGGATAGCTGACTCTATTATGAATGAAGTCCTACAAATAGAACCACATCGCAACTTCTGGCTTTACTTTGACATAGATTGAAAATTCTAATAAATTCTTAAATTTTTTACAGTAGTTGTATATAAAAATCTCATTATGTTCCTTATATATGTTACTTTTGTCTAGCAGGGACAAGGCACTTAAATAGTGGTATCGTTCAAGGATGGTGTCGGGCAAGGAGCAGTTACAAGGCACTTAATATTTTATCATTTTTGGGATATGTATATGCGTAAAATTAAATGTACAATGAAGTGTCAGGTAGTATATATATAATTGACTTTTTAATAATGATAATATTTATAATATTCGGCTTGAGAAATTCTTTTGGTGTTTGTCAAGCATTATTGGTTGCTTTAATATTGATAGTCAATTGATATGAATATCTCTATATGAAATTTTAGAGAATCAGGTGAATTTTATTGGTTGTTTTTGGTGAATTTTGATATAAATAACTTTTAGTGGCGACATAGTTTTGTCAAAAAATTAGTAAATGTTGCGATATATAAGTTGCTACTTTCAAATTTTGAAAATATTGTGTCTTTCATGGTTAAAACTTTTGTGGCCACTTTAGTCGCTACTAAATGACATTTATAGTGGCGACATAATCTTCTCACTGAACATAAATATTTTTTGTGGCAATTTTAGTCGCTACTAAAGGTGAATATATAGTGGCGACCCAACTAATATTTGTTCTTATGGAACAATTTTTTGTAGCACTTTTTCCAACCTTTTGTGGCAACTCTGTTGCCACAAAATATGTTCTTTTAGTGGCGACTACAAATGTCACCACAAATAACCTTCAGTTACGGTTTTCCTTGTGGCAATACAAAAGTCGCCGCTAATATCTTTTAGCAGCGACTGCTAGGGTTTTTGTGGCAACTTTAGTCTCCACAATAAGGGTGATTTCTTGTAGTGTGTACAAAAGCTCAATTTACAGTCGACTTGGTGGAAAAATGGGAGCGAGTGAATGCTACTGTTTTAACATGGATTATGAACACGATTTCACCAGATCTGGTGAATGGAATCGTATATGCTAGTGATGCTCATGAAGTTTGGCTAGATCTGCAGGATCATTTTGATAAAGTTAATGGATCTAGGATCTACAACCTTCAAAGGGAGATAGCTACCATTTCTCAAGGTACATCTAGCATTTCAGTATATCATTCTAAGTTGAAGTCACTTTGGGATGAATATAATTCCATGATTCCTTCTTTTCCTGTTACGGCTAGATCTAGAGATTTTATCGAACACTTGGAGCAACAGAAACTTTTTCAATTCTTAATGGGCTTAAATGAATCCTATAATGCAATTAGGAGCCAGATTTTACTTCAATCCCTATCACCTTCTGTCAGTCGTGTCTATGCAATGTTAATAAATGAAGAAAATCAGAGAAGAGTGTTTGAGACTAATTCACATATTAATGTGACAAATGAAGTAAATGATTCTACTGCTCCTATGAGTTCTAGAGATAGTCAGTCAAAGTTTAAGAGGTTCAATAATTTGTACTATGAGTATTGTCAAAACAAAGGACATACAAGAGATACCTGTTACAAATTGGTTGGATATCCATCTGGTTTCAAGGGGAAGAAATCACAGTAGTATAGGCAAGCTAACGTGGCTATGAGTGATAGCAGTTCTGGCAAAAATGTTGTTGCAAATTAGGATAATGCAGGGATGAGTCAAGGAATGCTCAACTTCTTTACTGATGAGCAATACAACCAGATCATGAAGATGATAAGCAAGGACAAGTCAGAAGAACATGTAGCAAATATGGCAGGTAATGCTAATTCTCAATCTCTAGAGGATCTAGCTGACTACTGGATTGTAGATACTGGTGCTACTGACCATATGACATCTAATAGTGATATGTTGAAAACAATGACTGGATTACCTGACTTGAGTAAAGGTAATGTGAACTTCCCAAATGGTAAGATTGTGCCTATTATCTGCAAAGGAAGTTACAAACTTACAGATCATGATGTGATACATGATGTGTTGTGTGTGCCTGACTTTAAATACAACTTGTTGTCTGTGTCAAAATTAACTAAGGACCTGCAATGCTCGATTAATTTTTCCCCAACATTTTGTGTGTTTCAGTACCTATACACTGGGAAAGTGAAGGGGATTGGTAAGGAGAAGGGTGGTCTCTATCTACTGATTCCTAAAGGGTCCAACATGAATAAAGTGGCACAAAGGATCAGCAATTGTCTTGTAGAAGTAATGTAAGCAAACTTCACTACCTAGCATAGAAGGCTTGGGCATGTGCCAATTAAAGTCATGAAGCAGTTAGATTTCCTTAAAGACAAGAAGTTTTCTGATTGTGAACTCAATAATTGCATTGTATGTCCTTTAGCTAGGTAGACAAGGAAACCATTTCCTTTAAGTAGCAACAGAGCTAAAGACATATTTCATTTGATTCACGTAGATATTTGGGGTCCATATAGACTGCCTGCATATAATGGAAATAGATATTTTTTGACTCTTGTTGATGATCACTTCATGATTTGGATTTTTCTAATGAGACTGAAAAGTGATACTGTTATTGTGCTAAAATCCTTTCTTAAAATGGTAAATACACAGTTTGGCAGAAATGTCAAAGTCCTAAGAACTGACAATGATGCAGAGTTCTTTAGTCATGAATGTCCAGATTATTTGATAGATAATGTCATTTTGCATCAAAGCAGCTGCCCACGTACTTCACAGCAGAATGGAGTAGTGGAAATAAGATATAGGCATGTCCTGGAGGTGGCAAGGGCTCTAAGATTCCAAGGCATCATTCCTTTGCAGTTCTGGGGAGATTGTGTACTAGCTGCAGTATATCTCATTAATCGATTGCGTTCTTCAGTTCTAGCAGGGAAATTTCCATATGAGGTTTTTCATAAAAGAGCACCTAATATGACACACCTAAGAACTATTGGTTGTCTGTGTTTTGCTATAGTAACAGAGAAGGTGGACAAATTTTCTACTAGAGCCATCACTGCTGTTCACATGGGACACTCAGTATCTCAGAATGGATACAAGTTATATGACTTAAGGAGAAGGAATTTCTTTGTTAATAGAGATGTCACATTCAAGGAAGACATTTTTCCTTTTCAATTGGGGAAGGATGATACACAACAAGATCCTATGTTCTTAGAGCTGAAGTCAAAAGAGGAAGACTACTCTTTGCATCAACAACAATCACATGTGTCAGAAGAAGGACATGATGCAGTCAATCAAGCTATTGAGCATGGTCATGAAGTGATGCAACAAGAGAACAACCTCACAGGAGCTGATCCAGATCATGGTGAACAGATACTAGATATTGAGGTTGATCATAATATGCAGACACCAGCTAATGAAGCTACTGAGGAAGTTCAAGCTGTACAACTTAGAAGATCCAACAAAGGTTCCAAGCCACTTATTTGGATGCAGGACTATGTCTGCCCAGTCAATAGAGCATCATTATCCACCTGCACATATCCAATATCCAACTATGTGAACTATAGTGCCTTGTCAGCTACTTATCAATCTTACTTGACTTCTACCTCACAAGAGACAGAACCTACATCATACACAGAAGCCATAAAGGACCCAAGATGGGTTGAAGCCATGAAGATAGAAGTAGATGCCTTGGTTCTGAACAATACTTGGGAGATAGTTGATATTCCTAAGGGTAAGGTGCCCATTAGGTGCAGATGGGTGTACAAAATTAAGTACAGGTCCAATGGAGAAGTTGAGAGATTTAAAGCAAGACTTGTTACCAAGGGATATAACCAACAAGAAGGTCTAGACTATCAGGAGACTTTTTCTCCAGTTGTCAGAATGGTCACCGTGAGATAAGTCATTGCATTGTCTGCTATGCATCAATGGCCTCTTTTCCAAATGGATGTCTACAATGCATTTCTTCAAGGTGATCTTGAGGAAGAAGTTTACATGCAATTGCCACCTGATTTCAGCAGCCAAGGGGGGATTTCTAAGGGTTGCAAACTGCTTAAATCACTATATGGACTTAAGCAAGCATCAAGACAATGGAACTTGAAACTCACAGAGGCTCTATTGATAGTAGGTTTTATACAAAGCAAACATGATCACTCCGTGTTCATCAAAGAGGAGAATGGAAAACAGGTTGTTATACTTGTATATGTTGATGACCTTCTAATCACAGGCAATGACACTACAATGATTCAAGAAGCAAAGATCACACTACAGAAGGCTTTCAAGATTAAAGACGAAACTTGAAATACTTTCTGGGCATTGAGGTCTGCAAGTCTGCAAAAGGAATTCTTTTATGCCAAAGGAAGTATGCTCTAGAACTTATAACAGAATTGGGATTGTTTGGTGCCAAGCCTGTCATTACCAATGGAACAAAATAAACGATTTACAATTGTTGAGTATGACGAACATTGTCACTTGGACAATGATCCAACACTAGCAGATGTAAAGAGCTATCAAATGTTGATTGGAAAGATTACCGATATTGCTTATAGTGTGCAGACTCTAAGTCAATTTATGCAAGCTCCCAAGCAATCTCATCTTGAAGCAGCATACAGGGTAGTCAGGAATGTGAAGAATGAGCCAGGGCTTGGAATTCTTATGAGTGCAGTTGGGGACATGACTCTTAGTGCACATTGTGATGCAGACTGGACAAGTTGTCCTAACTCCAGAAAAATCAGTCACCGGATACCTTGTGAAGTTTGGTGGATCACTGATATCTTGGAAATCTAAGAAGCAGGCCACAGTGGCAAGGAGTTCAACAGAATCTAAGTATAGAAACATGGCTTTGACTATGTCTGAGTTGATATGGTTGGTTGGAATATTCAGTGAATTGGGGATAAAGGTTGCCACTCCAATTCAACTTCATACAGATAGTAAAGCAGCTATGCAGATAGCTAATAACCCAATGTTTCATGAACGAACGAAATATATAGAGATAGATTGCCATTTCATGAGGGAAAAGGTGCAACAAGGGTTGATACATCCAAGATATGTGCCAACAGAAGAACAAGAAACAGATTTGCTCACAAAAGGACTAGGAACTGCTCAACACTATCATTTGATGTCCAAGCTAGGTGTTCTGAACATTTTTACCACACCTAGCTTGAAGGGAGGGGGGGGTGTAGAAATTAACACATGGCTAATTCACTGGTATAGTTGTATTAGTTTGTTAGAAGTTAGTTGTAAAGGTTAGTGATAGTTTAAGTATGGAAGTCTATATATATGTGTATAGGGATGTATGTATTTTTTGGCTTCTTTTTCAGAAAGTTAGTTACAACTGATTTTTCCTCCATTGTCTCTTCTTCTTCAATTCTCTCAGCTAGCTTCTTCTACTCAACAATGGTGGATTTCTACA